CCGCCCGGCCCCGCGGCTCCGCCTCGTCGTGCTCGACGCCTACGACCTGAGCACCCTGGGCAGGGACCCCGACAGCCCCCGATACCGGGAGGCCCTGCGGCTGCTGCGGGAGAGGAACCACAACGAGAACCTCAACGACCCCACAGGTACCCCCGGGTGGGCGGGGAGGGGCTCCCGAGGCGGGCAGCGCGTTAATAGGGTCTGTGCCCCATCCCTGCCCTCCTGCTCTGTGTTCCTGCTGCCAGAGGCTCTAGGAGGGCACGGGAGATGCTCCCTCATGCCCACAGTGCTGCTCTGAGGCCTGCGGGTGTGTTGTGGTCTGTGCCATGCAGGTTTGGAGCACGAGGCAGGTGTTGGTGAAGCAGCTGCTGCAGAGCACCGAGTTGTGCCCACCCTATCCCATGCTGGGGACGCACAAAGAGTGGAAATCCTGCGTGTGCAGTGTGACCGAAACCCCTGAAGACACTAACAAATAATCTTCTAACAAATAATCTTCTTGCTTGTCCAAGTAGGCTGGAGTTTTGATCCAAGAAATGCAACAGAAAACTCCCAGAGATTATGAGAGTAAAGCATCGAATTGTTATTTACATAAGGCAGTCAAATAGAGGAGTCATGGGAGATGTATGGACCTGTGCCTAACCTAGTTCTTCTTTGCAGGGCTCGAGGAACCTCAGTTTGTAGAGTTTAATGGAGGATTTAGCCAAGCCCAGCTGGACTGGTTTGATGAAGTCCTCAAGTTCTCTGATGAAAACAAAGAAAACGTTATAGTTATGGGTAGGTGGATATGGGGAATATACCACAGAATGGTTTGGGTTGGAAGAGACCTTAAAGATCATCTAGTTCTAACTCCTATATATTCCCAACGAGGACAGGCTGAGAGAGTTGGGGCTGCTCAGCCTGGAGAAGAGAAGGTTGTGTGGAGACCTCAGAGCACCTGCCAGGAGCTGAAGGGGCTCCAGGGAAGCTGCAGAGGGACTCTGTGTTAGGAACTGCAGGGACAGGACAAGGAGCAATGGGGAGAAATGGAAAGAGGGAAATTGAGATGAGATCTTAGGCAGAAGTTTTCCCTGTTCTGGTGGTGAGACACTGTCCCAGGTTGCCCAGGGAGGCTGTGGCTGCCCCAACCCTGGCAGTGTTCACAGCCAGATTGGATGAGCCTTGAGCAACCTGTGGGAGGTTGGGACTAGATAATCTCTAAGGCCCATTCCAAACCCTAAACATGCTATGATACTATGAATATATGTGAAAAAAGTTTGGTAGCCAGTGACTGTTATCTGAGGAAAACATGTGGCAGCTCTGTATCACCCATGAGGTACAGATGTCTGATCCTCCCAGCAATGAGGCAGAATTTGTTACACTTAAGAGTTTAGCTGTGCTGTTTCTTTCCCTCTCCATTGCAGGCCATCTGCCCATTCATCCAGATGCTTCGGACAGGGTTTGCCTGGCCTGGAATTACGAGGCTGCCCTGGCTGTGATACACTCCCACCGCTGTGTGGTTTGCTGCCTCGCAGGACACCTGCACGACGGCGGCTACTGCTTGGACTCGCACGGAGTCCATCACCTCACTGTGGCAGGGGTGATCGAGACCCCCCCAGAGAGCACTGCTTTTGGGACTGTTCATGTCTATGAAGATAAAATGGTACTCAAGGGAAGGGGCAGAGTTCCAGACAGAGTGATGCACTTCTGAAAGCACCAGGAGAATACAGGGTGTTCTCCTTCAGGACAGTGACGTGAGGGATTCGGCTTACTGTTTGCTTGTAGAAAAGTGTGCATGGCTGATGCTTATTGCTTTAGCTCAGGCATTTTTCTCTTGGATACAGGATTTTAGGAACTGTTTCTGTAAGAAAACAGACCTCTCTGTGAGGAGAATAGAGAAGCCTAGTAACCATGTGTGAAATAAATAGACTTGAATGTAGAATGTTGAAACACCCAGTCCACACCGGATTGTTACTGTGAAAAGATGCAAACCATCATATGAATATTGTCCCCAAACCCCCTTTTTATTGTCTCAGTGAGCATTAAAGCATGCAGAGCTATACCTGCCCACCTGCATTTCACTGGGTTTACTTTCTGTGAACATCAGTCAGTGACATCTGTCTGGCAGGACACACCTCCCCTGTAGCTTAGTGCGGCTTCTCAACATTGCTTCAAAAGACTGAAGTAATCCCCAGAAAAAGCTAAGCCTGTGGAGAATGGAGAGCTGTGGAATGCTGCAGTCACATGGGCTGGGACCTGGGATCACAGCTGTGACCACTGCAGCAGTGTGAGCAGCATCACACAAGGATCCAAAGGGTGTTGCTGCACCTGGACCTGTCCTGGCTCATGTGTCCAGGGTATCCACCTGTGCTTCCCTCTCCAGGATGAGTAGTGGGACATGCTCACTGCTGCTTTCCAGGAACATGCCCACAGCTGCTGGTGGCAAGCTCCAGAACACATCTCCCAGTAAGTAAAGACACAGGAGCTTTCCTTGAGTTTTCTTTAGAAAAATATTATTTATTGCTCTGTAAAACCGAGGATTTTCAGTTAAAGGTAAGAGCAGAAAAATATTCCAGACAGCTCAATTTCCCAATTAGTCTCCAAAAGATTGTCCAGGCAGATATTTGGAAGTTCTCTGGCTGTAAATAGTCACTCCTTGAAACAGCGTTTGCTTTATTTGTCCCTTGTGTTACAGAACAGTAGATGTCCCAAAGAATGAGGTGATGCAGTGGTTCAGGGATGTGGGGATGTCTTGGATATTATTAGAACACACATAGATCAATGGTGCTTTGCAAATGCAGGAAGCAATCAGCTGAAAAACAGCTTCCACAGCATAATTCCCCACTCCGATTTGCCAGTGTTCCTCAGCTTTCTACCCAAGCTCA